CAGACCGCCCGCTAACCTACGCGACGCGATGAAGTCATCACGCACGGCCACACAAGCTGGCCGGAGATTTGCTTTTCTCTCCGGTACGGATACGGTTCGGCGCCGTGGTTTAGTTTCTTCCAGCCTTCGCTACCCGTACGTACGCGCTGGTTCGGCAAGCGCATGCAAATTCCCGCAAAAAACCAAAACCAAGCGCATGCAATTACCCACGTCCAGAATTGTCTTTACTCGTAAACTTGCAAATCCTGCAAGTCTTATATCCATGCTCTATGTGCTTGAGCCGTTATTTTGGCACACTTGGACATATGATGATCCAGACCAACCGTTTTAGGCGTCTTTCGTTCATACTCCCTCTGTTTTTATTTAGTACGTACTCCCTCTGTAAACTAATATAAGAGCGTTTAGATCACTACTTTAGTATTCTAAACGCTTTTATATTAGTTTAAGGAGGGAGTACTTCGCATATTGCCTTTGTCTCAAGTCAAACTTTATAAATTTTGATCAAGTTTATAGTACAAAGAAAGTGTTAACATCCAAAATATCATTAGAATCATCATTAAATGTATTTGCATACCATAGATACTTGTTATTGTGAAAATTTAGATCTTTTTGATAAACTTGATCTATAAAGTCTAACCTAGGTCAAAGCTAATATTTGTGGTAAATAAAAACGGATGGAGTGGGTTGGGAATGAATAAAAAAACGAAAACACTAACGCCCGCACGTGTGGCAACATTGCAACTCGCCCACACGCCTGAATCACCGTCCAATTAAGTTTGCATGAATCTTGACACACCGAGGCCATTTCCGCGTGCCACGTAGGACAAGGCCGGTGCGTGGGCGTTGGAGGTCGCCCATACGCCTACAGCACGCGTTTGCCAGTTGCGCTGTGTGGGCGAACTAGTTTCTGCCCTGACAGCCACCACCTAGTCCACGCGCGTGTGGCCGAACTGCTTTTCGCCCACACGACAGTCGTGCGTTGTTGGATGGCAACTGCAGTTGCGCGTACATGCCAACTAGATAAACACACATGGCAACTATGATTCCTTTGCCAGACGACAACTGTAGTTGCGCGTACGTGGCAATCAGGTAAACATACATGGCAATTGTGCTTAACCACACATGGCAACTAGATAAACACACATGATAACTATTGTTTGACCATATATGGCAAGTAATTAATCACACACGATAACTATGATTTGATTACAAGCGGCAACTACCATAAATTAGACATGACAACTATAGTTAACCAAAACAGAGAGAGTTGACATGCTTTTACAACCATATTTGCCATCCCGATAACTACATCTGTCATCCCGGATGGCAACTAAATCGTCATCCCACGGGGTTCCTATTGTAGCTGCGTCAGGACGTGTGGGTATATTTGCTTCGTGCCACACGCGCGAAGTGGGGATGAGTAGTACTTGTTGGGCGTGTGGCACGAAATAGCTACGCCCACACGTGCGGGCAATTCTACTGTTCGCCCACACACAGCCCGTGTGGGCTGCCCCCGCTCATGTCACACACAATGTGTGGGTGAATGCCTATTATGCCACACGTGTGGTGGATATCGACGTCCATAAAAAATTATAGGAAGTGAGATTACATGTAGTATCTCAATTTTCTATAGAAAAAAAGATGTCACTTGGTTCATATGACAGGATTTTTTTTCATTGGGTCTAGGATCAAGTTTTTTTTAACGCGGTACAAACATAAAGGATTGGTTCCTGTCCTACAAGGGATATGTATCCATTCCTATAAACCAAAGGGTTCAAAAAAAATTCTTACAAAAACTCCATCATTTAGAATTCCCGCAAAAAATCCCTAAACCAAAGGAGCCCTTGGGAGGTTTAGGACCAAAGTGGGCACACTTGGGCAAGCTCAAGGATTGTGGATGTAGTTCACTCGAAGTATATCGAGTGGGAACAAAATGCCATGTTGATTGTGCTTGTACATGTAAAGCTAACAAAAAAGTTATAAATTAATGTGGTCTTCAATATAAATGCAAATATTGATGGGTACAGATTACATCGAAACACGTCATTAGTGGCCACAAAGGAAAGAGTGTGAGAGACGATTTAGATACTTTACACTTTTAACCTGGGTGGTGTGATGGGAACCTAGGTGGGTTTAAACCCCTTGTAGACCTTACAGAAAGCATCCTTGCATTTTAAGTGATTTCCACCTTTAAAAGTTTATCGATGAATTTCTCGGCCCGACGAATGCGACTCGAGCTACTCCACAAAAGTAAAGTTGCGATCTTTTACATCATATGTTTCAGTCCATATTTTTTTTTCTCCATTCCAAATTATAACATGTTCTAACTTTTAAAATTGGATGTATATAAACGTGTTTTGGTATGTTTGTTCATTTATTTTAGTGTACGTGTAGTTCTTGTTGAAATATCCAAAACGTATTTTTTGAACAAAGGTGCCACTGTTCAGACACTAGTATAATTACACTTAGCCGTGCTTTTACCTAGTCCTGCTTGATTGTAAATAACATATGATCTAATTTTTAAAAATTGCCTGTATGTAAACATGTTTTAGTGTGTTTGTTCATTTATTTTAGTTTGCTATAGTCCGTATTGAAACATCCAAAACCTTGTTTGAACAAAGGTGGCACAGTTCAGGTATACTAGTGTAATTACACTTAACCATGCTTTAAACTAGTCTTGCTTGACTGTACCACTATCTTTTTACAGTGCCTCCTCGATCTTCCATTGCCATAAAACGAAAAAGGATAAACAAAATGAAAGAAGGCACGCAAATGCATGTCCATCTGCTGCATACGGGGCTCACAATCTTACCAGTTACCACCATGATTCTATGAATGGCCGAGCAAACGCAAAGTTGAAAAGATGCAGCCAGTCAAACAGGAAACGGGAAAGCGGCTTTATTAGTAGTGGCGCGATGATGAGGTTACGGCCGCACCCGTGCGCCTCGGCGTGTCGCATATTTGGGCTATGAAGTGGAGAGCATACCCCGTGTGGGTGTGGCGGCCCCCACCATCGACGCCACACCATATCCGCTCCATCCCCGAGTCCATCAGTTTCGCTGACGTACGTGGCCCACCCTTCAGTGGAACTGGCGTTTCCGTGGACGCCTGAATGGACAAGTCACTGGGAAATGTTTTGGGAAACGGGGCCCGCATCATGACCCAGCACGTGCGCCTGTCCCTGGACCACCGGTGAGAGACGTCCGTGGCCGTTTGATTCAGACCCTGGTTGATATCATCCGTCCGCAGTGAGGCCGGGATGGGGCCCACTCGTCTGTAGCCGGGCACTGTCGTTGGGTGGGGTGGTGGGTACCGGGTACGCGCAATCTGCCGTTAGATCCCCTCGCCGCTTGTCTTTGCTGACGGAAAAAATGGTTACATTACACGAGGCTGTTCCATGCGTGGTGACCACTGACCAGTCACGCCATTTGCAGTTTCTTTGACCTCATCGGCCCAAAGCGAGCCCGATTTGATTGCAGAACACCGTACATCTTCTGTGCGTACCTCCCCGTAACGTAGTCCTAGTACTAGCTTCTCTTTTCGGGTGATAGCTCGTTTGCGTCTTTTATGACTTGTTTTGGGTGTTCCTGATCGGAGTGGAAAGATCCACGGGCCCTGCCGGTGGCTGTCTTCGATTCCGGCGCCGTCGTGACCGCCGTTGTCCTTTACACCAACTCTAGCAAAATCCTCGTATCGCCATAATCATCATAATGATCCTTCACACGCTTCAATATTTTTCGACATACAGCTTACACTATCATACTTACATTGTAATCCAACTTCATTTTCATAATAAACATCTTGAAATTCTCCCAAACGGATGCAATCTCAGCCTCCTTCTCTTCAAGCATGACCTTCTTCTCTTCACACTTGAGCTTCTTGTCAGTCGCTGCCATCAACATGTTAAACCTTTTTTACCTTACATGTGTCCTTAATGTTAGATCGCTTGACACTTGCCTCCTCCTGCTTCGTCAAGAGGTTCTTGAACCTCGTCGTCATCTTGACCGTCACCCCTTGTTGATTGGCCTTCTTCTCCTCACATTTCTTTCTTTCTTCGCCCTCGAACACTGGCCCTCTATCGCCCACGCACCGGTCATCACTTGCGTGAAATACTGCTCGGGGCGACGATGCTCCTTCCCCTTGGGCGGGGGCCAGTGGCCATCTCCATTGGATTGATCTTCGGCCAATGCACCATGGT